AATGACTTTGGAATCAAATTCAAGAAAGTGCCATTGCTATGTAACAATGAGAGTGCAATCAAGTTAACCAACAATCTGGTTCAACATGCAAGAACAAAGCACATTGATGTACGCCACCATTTCATAAGAGATCACCAACAAAAAGGGGACATTTGCATTGAGAGTGTAGGCACTGAAGATCAACTTGTCGGTATATTCATCAAGCCATTGGATGAGAAAAGGTTTTGCAAGCTAAGCAATGAGTTGAACATATTGGATTTCTCAAATATATGTTGATGCACCCCCACTTATATGACATGTCTCTCCTTTGAGCAATCCAAGGTAAAAGTTGATTGGCGTGGCATACATCCTTGCTAAGGACATGTTTAGTGCATTTAGTCATCTCTCACATTTAATAGGCTCATTCATGAAAATCAAATAAATTTGATGTTTGTTTGGTACCACTATTGCTTCTATGCTTGACTTGATCTAGTGGTAGCATATGACATGTTTGTGGGCTTGTAAACCTAGTGTTTAATCTAGAAAATAAGCTCTAAGTGTTTAACTCAACATGGTACAAGATAACCCTTATTTGGAGGTGTGAAAAAGCTTGTCCTTGGATCAAACCGAGTTAAATATCTTTGGCAAATGATCTAGATTGGACAAAATTTGGGAAAATAATCCTCACCCCATTGATTGGCATTGATAATCTCAACCTATCTACATTTTGAACCTTTATGGCCATTGATGACAAAGGGGAGAAAAACAAAGATATAAGTGTTAAGAGGAGAAATAGTGTACTAAGATAGTAAAAAGACAACAAAGAGGGAAAAATAAAGATATAAGTGATAAGGGGAGAATTTGACATAGGGGGAGAGATATGACAAATGAAGGGGATCAATTAAAATTTTGAGCACACAAGTAGGGGGAGCAAGCTCATGAACTTGTATGGTGCATTTGAATGTGCATTTCATATGTTTGATTGCATGGCACAAGTTTTAAATTTCAATATCCATGTTTGTGTGGTGTATGCTAGTTGTAGGTTTGAATGATGAAATGAAAAACTAGCATGCATAGGTTATCTAGTGATTTCATTTCCAAGTGGTATCGAGTTAACCATGGTGCTAAGGATGGTATATTGGTGCACTCCGATTGGTATCACGTTTTAAAGGTCCATCTTTTATACTTTAGCATCATTTGGTAGACATTGTCTCCTATATTTTCTATCTAAGCATATGTGCAAGCTACAATCCAAACTCTTAGCACATATGTAGGGGGGCAATTGCTACCATTTGGGATTCATGAAACTTATCCATATCCTTTTACACATGGTAAATATGCTTGGGCAAGCAACATGGATTCAATTGAATTTCAATTCATATCTTTGTGAAAAGGTTGTCATCAATTACAAAAAAATAGGAGATTGAAAGCTCTAGTTTGGTTTTGGTGAATTGATGAAACCCTAAGTGATAACCTAGTTTATCAAGTGATCATGAGATAGGTAGCACATTCTAAGTGGTGAAGCAAATAAAGATCATGACATGATGATGGTGATGCCATGGTGATGATCAAGTGCTTGGACTTGAAAAGAAGAAAGAGAAAAATGAAAGGCTCAAGGTAAAGGTATAAGTGATAGGAGCCATTTTATTTCGGTGATCAAGACACTTAGCGAGTGTGATCACATTTAGATTTGACAGTTGTACTATTAAGAGGGGTGAAACTCGTATCGAAATATGGTTATCAAAGTGCCACTAGATGCTCTAACTCATTGCATATGCATTTAGGATCTAGTGGAGTGCTAACACCCTTGAAAATATTTGTGAAAATATGCTAACACATGTGCACAAGGTGATACACTTGGTGGTTGGCATATTTAAGCAAGGGTGAAGAAGATAGAGTTGAAAAGGAGTTAGTCGCGCTGGTCACAGAGTGACCGGACGCGTCCGGTCAAAGTGATGAGGCTCTGTACTAAATTGCAGAGCGAACGGACGCGTCCGGTGTTAATCAGCGAGTGTCGGTGTTCAGCGTAATAGTTGATCGGACGCTGGGAGCGTCCGGTCGGCCCAGAGCGGCTCTAGAAGCTCTCTGGACTCGACCGGACGCTGCGTCTCCTACGTCCGGTCCGGAGTGACCGTACGCGTTCGATCGGCCCTGGGAGCTCTCTAGACTCGACCGGACGCTGCGGCTCCGCATCCAGTTGTTTCTAACAGCACGTCCGGTCGCATGGGACTCGTGGCAATAACAGCTACTTCATTTAAAATGGGACACGTGGCGGTCAGGTAGCGACCGAATGCGTCTGGTCGCCATACCGGACGCGTCCGGTATACACGGCCGATGCGTCCGGTGCACACGACCTGCGCGTCCGGTCGACGCGCAGTCAGCCCAATAATTGAATCAACGTCTCTATTGTTTGGGGTGTCTATAAATACCGTTTGACCGGCTCTAGCTCACTCTCTTGGCCATTTGCATTGACATAGCAACCTTGTGAGCTTAGCCAAAGCCCTCACACTCATCTCCATCATTGATTCAACATCTTTGTGAAATTAGGAGTGAATTCAATTGCATTGCTTGAGTGTTTGCATCTAGAGACACTTAGTGTTCGTGTTTCGCTGCGGGATTCGCTTGTTACTCTTGGTGGTTGCCGCCACCTAGATGGCTTGGAGCAGCGAGGATCGTCGAACAGAGGTTGGTGATTGTCTTCGGCTCCGATCGTGATGATTGTGAGGGGTTCTTGACCTTTCCCTAGCGGAGAGCGTACTCTAGTAAATTGGCCATGGCTTGTGTGATCCTCATCTTATGTTGGTTGCGCGGCACCTTATTGAGGGTTTGGCGTGTGATGCCAATTAACGCGTGAACCTCCAAGTGAGTGAAGCGCCACAACGAGGACTAGCTTGCCGGCAAGCAAGTGAACCTCGGTAAAAAATCATTGTGTCATCATTTGATTCCGAGGCGATTGATCTTCATTGATATTGATTCTTGTGATTGATTGATCCATTCCTTGACTTGACGATATAACCATCTTGCTCTCTCTCTCTATACATTACCGTAAACTAGTTGTCAAGCTCTTTAGTGTAGCAATTCATGAGAGCTTGTTAATTTGGTTAATGTGGCTCTTTAGTTAGCTTTTGAGAGCACACTAACTTAGTGTAGTGACATAGCCATTGTATGGATAGAGACTATATAAACTAGAATTGTAGTAGGTGGCTTATATTTTTAGTAGGCTAGCGCAACACTTGCTTCGCCTCATAATTGTCTAACCGATTTATTAAGTGTTGTTGTAAAAATTAATAGGCTATTCACCCCCCTCTAGCCATTAGGACCTTTCAGGTTGGTAGTCTTGGCTAGACCGATAGTTTTAATTCCACATTTGTTTCAGTTAGCTAGTGCGATTAATTTTAGAAGAACTATTCACTCCTTCTAGTCCGCCATCTCGACCCTACACGTACCCAAGGGTCCTTGGGCGTGCCACATTCATCCTCTGCTTGGAAGAGGAGCTTCCTCCAGCGGTGGTCGCCTCTTACGAGTGTCCACCTCTAAGGCGTTAATCTTGTGTTTGGCAGTAATTGCCAAACTCACCAGCTCGTTGAAGTTCTTGTATGGGGTGATGGAGACCATTCTTGAATTTCAAGCACTTCATATCATTGGTTGGTATGTCCAATGGAGCATATTGTGCAAGATAGTTGATGCTATTTGCATAATCAAGCACGCTCATCCTTCCTTGAGTTAGATTACAGAATTCATCCACCTTTACTTCATTGGCTCCAGCTGGCACAGAGAAAGCATGGAATGCTTCCTTGAATTGAACCCATGGCAACCGTATGTTCGTTGGGAGGCAAGCATAATAATCATGCCACCATGCTTCGATGGCTTCGTACAACAAGTTCATTCGATGTACAACAATGGTGCACATAAGCACTAAGTGATAAGAGGTATCTAAACTTCACTAAACACTAGGCCTAAACCTAGAGCAACCACATTAGCGATGGTCTAACTAGCCTAAGCACTTCACAAAGCACCTGTACTAATCATCTAATATTTTTCTATGCACTTTTGATGACAAAAGCACAAATGGATGACCCTCAACTCTTCACACACTTCTCTCATATGTAGCACACCTCAAAAGACCGAGCAATGGGGTATACATATAGCCTAAACATCCAGAACTAGTCTAAGTGAGCTTGTTTCTTTGCTTTTTTTATTTTGAAGATCAATTTTTTTTGTGATGAGATTAATTTTCTTTCAAGCATTTATTAGAAAGTTGCAAAACCAAATATTGGGAGTTTTTTTTTTGTTATACTATTGGAGATGCTCTTATGGCCTACTTGGTTTGCTTCTAATTTTTGTCCAACCAAAATCAAAGCTTGCCAATACTAAATCAAAAAAATGCACTTAATATGTCTGCAATTCTTAGAGCTACAGTGACCAGCTCGGGAAATTTATGGATTTCGCAGAGCTAGAGGTCTGCCAAACATTACCTTAGGCCAATTTTGATAAAGTTGTAGCTCGTCATTTATAGCTCTAGAGAATCTTGGATCTAGAGCCGCACCCATGTTAAGTACATTTGTATGACTCATTTTATTTAGATTTTAGATGAAATAAAAATATTTAAACCACTTTAATTTAGTCTATAAATCACAAATCTAGCATAGACATCGGAGCTACAGCTGTAGTTACGGGCTGATCTGAGCCGTTCGGAACCAACCAACGGTCGCGGCGAATTGTCGTGACTGTTTGCTGCGGCCTTGTCGGAACACTAGCCTCACCGCTCGCTCAGCGGCCGCCGCGGCAGTTTCTGCTGGCCCTCGTCCGCCGCGGGCTGCGGCTCACGGACGCTCCCTGTCATCCTCCTTCCTGATCGAAGCCTTCTTCTGCACCCGCTTTGTCCCCGTCAGCCGGACTCGCCGAATTCTCCAAACCCTAGCGCCAAAATCCCCATTCCGGTAGCCGCAATCGGAGCCGGATTCTCTCGGTTTCCGGCTGGCGCCGGTATCGTGTCTGCGCATGATGCAGCGAGCGCGCTCATGAACTCGATGGACGAAATCAACCTGCTTCGGCAGGCGCAGCGGCAGCATCAGCACCACCTCATGGTGCGCGGCATCGGCGAGGAGATCGACCTCGAGATCGGCCCCGGCGACGACCCCTCGTTCTCCGGGGCTTCCTTAGTGACCGTCACGTCCACGCACGACACCGTCGTCCACGCCGACGACCACAAGAGCCTCCTCATCCCGTGTTCGCAGACCGGCGCGGCGGACGGGCTGGCGCCGCAGCAGCAGCACCTGGCGCAGGGGGAGGAAGAGCATGACGGGATGCTCAGGCAGCCGTCGGGGCACACCAAGAAGAAGAAGAAGGTGGTGAAGAAATGGCGGGAGGAGTGGGCGGACACCTACAAGTGGGCCTACGTCGCCGTGCACGACAACACCACCAGGATCTTCTGCTCGGTGTGCAAGGAGTACGGCCGGAAGCACCGCCGGAATCCATATGGCAACGAGGGAAGCAGGAATATGCAGATGAGTGCGCTTGAGGAGCACAACAATAGCTTGTTGCATAAGGAGGCGCTCCGGTTGCAGATGGCCTCCAAGGAGAAGTTGCAGCCTCCCGAGATCGAGAGGCCGGTCTATGTCAAAGGTTGGTGTTGTCGGCTTGTTGACCCAGCTTCCACAGTTAATACTCAAGTTTCACCTTGGAACAGATGTAAGGACTAGGCAATGTGTAATAAATTAGTTTCTAAAATTAGTGTATTATTTGGATATTCCAGGAAATATGTTAACTTTCAGTTTTAATTGTGTATTGCTGCATTGTGAGAAGTAGATAACATGGTTTTCAAGATATCACATTTTTTATTCTGTTCTGTGTAAGTGTGTAGCATATTCATGTCCAATAACAAGGAAATCCTATAACTAAATGTCCAATTGAAGAGACAATGCTAATATGACCATATCTGTTACTTCATCCTGTGCTACTGGTACATAGTTGGTAAGTGCTTTATGTTCTACTAGAAAATGAACATAGCATGAAGCAGATATTCCACTTTTATTTCTTTTTGGAGTGGAATTACCAGTTCACCTTGAAGTTATTGTTATTTATATATTCCAGTTTTATTTCCTTCTTGGAGTGGAATTACCAGTTTGCCTTGAAGTTACTGTTATTTATAACTATATATGATATGTGATGTCATCATCTGTGCTTTTTATGCCCTCTATCCCAGTGTGCTCCATTCTCTATCAAACCAAAATGACTGAATGATATTATATCCCTTGCAACGATCCAACAACTCTAGATATATGACCTTGCTCATTTTTTTATTTGCATTTTGAATTGTCTATTCCAGCTTTATCAAAAACAGCAGCATCAATACTTGAATGTGTCCTAAGGAGGGATCCCCATGAAGCTGAATATATACAGTCCATCCAGGAGGTGGTTCATTCCTTAGAACCTGTTTTGGTGAAGAATACCCAGTAATTCTTCAAATCTCCCTCCATCCCTTAGAAATAATATGCCTAAACCTTCAGTATAACATAGTTTCATTTTATAATGTTTCAGATATATTCAAATTTTGGAGCGTTTGTTGGAACCTGAGAGATGCTTTATCTTCAGAGTGCCATGGATTGATGACAGAGGTGAAGCACATGTCAATAGAGGTTTCCGTGTGCAATTCAGTCAGGCGTTAGGTCCATGCAGGGGTGGTCTTCGGTTTCACCCATCCATGAGCTTAAGTGTGGCAAAGTTTCTGGCCTTTGAACATGTAATACTATACTTGTCTAAAATTCACTTTCATGCTACAACACATAAGCTATTGGTTTTTTCCTTGTTTACAAGAAAGACATTGCCATAGGTTGAAGTACCACTCTAGGTGAACTATGAAGTGCATTTGTGATGTTAATAACTTGCAGCCTTTGCTTAGCCACATCTGATTTTGAAGCCATGGGTGTGATTTGCTTAATGGATGCATTTTTTATGTTTACGTTGCTTATGGCAGAACTTTAACATTCTATCCTATCATTGTGTTTCTTCCATACAGACTTTGAAGAATGCTTTGTCACTATATAAACTTGGAGGTGCTGCTGGAGGAAGTGATTTTGATCCAAAGGGTAAAAGTGATAATGAGGTGTGTGTACCGTATTTTGATTCCTCAGGACAATAACATTTTTTGCTGCATGTAAATCTCAAAATCTTGTCCTGTTAGATAATGCGCTTTTGCCAAAGTTTCATGGATGAGCTGTATAGATATTTGGGCCCTGATCAGGTACTTCCCAGTTAAACATGATACTCAGTTATTGGAGTTATTCATCTCTATATTAGTTAAATGAATCAATGACTGTTCTTAGTCTCTAGTAGTATTTCAGACTTCGATCTTTTGGTCCAGGATTTTCCCACTGAAGATATTGGTGTTGGTCCAAGGGAAATGGGTTACCTTTTTGGGCAGTATAGACGCCTTTCTGGTCATTTTCAGGTAGACTGGTGGTTCTGAAGTCCATATCCAGAATTTAGATTATGGGAAATTGTGGATACATCCTCAGTGTAGGGGGCGGGGGGTTATGAGGCTATTTGTTTAGTTTCTGCTTCCACTTCTTTGTTCATCAGTTCTCTCTTGTCTGTAGATTTCAACTGTCGTGCTTATGCAGGGAAATTTTACAGGACCTAAAATTTTCTGGTCAGGGTCAAGTTTTCGAACAGAAGCTACTGGATACGGGCTGGTAAAGTGCTACCTTAAATTTTCGTTTGGCTGGAGATTGTGTGTTTTGTGGGTACCATAGTTGTTTCACAAGTAATATTTCTGTTGCCTGTGTTGACTGGACCATTGTCCATGTTCAAAGTGAAACACCATATGAAACCATTCTGTCCGTGCAGGTGTTTTTTGCGCGTCTTTTACTTGCTGAAATGAACAAAGAGCTTAAAGGATTAAGGTTTCTTACTGAGATCCATTGAGTTTTTCTTCGTTATAATTTAGCCTTTTGTTAGTTTCATAGTATGCAATGTTTTCTGCAGATGTGTGATCAGTGGTTCTGGAAAGATAGCAATGCATGTTTTGGAAAAGCTTTTGCCTTGTGGAGCCATTCCTGTTACTGTCTCAGGTATACAGACTCAAAGGTTTCTTTGGACTGATTACACAGGATATACATGGTTTGGAATTGCATCAATATTATTATTGGCATCAGATGTGCCTTGAATTAGGTGGATTTATCATGTCTACTCATATGTGTTTGCCACTGTGCCTATCCTTGACATACAATTTCACATCATTAATATGTAGAAGTTAACAATGCTCATATATGATTTCAAAATAGAAATACAGGTCTATATACAAGTATTCTTCCGATAGGTTTTTGCGCCTGCTAGCTTTCCTTGAATTGAAGGGCGGGCCTGGTGCAAGCGGTAGAGTCTTACCACCTGTGACCGGAAGGTCCCGGGTTCGAGTCACGGTCTCCTCGCATTACACAGGCGAGGGTAAGGCATGCCACTGACACCCTTCCCCAGACCCCGCAGAGCGGGAGCTCTCTGCACTGGGTACGCCCTTTTTTTAGCTTTCCTTGAATTGCACTATAAGTGTTTTTTAAGGGTTGAATTTGTTCATAGGAATATTTATTGCTTGCCAAATTGTTAGGTAGATTTTAAGCGTACCTACTATAGAAAAATAGTCATGTTAAGATAACTATAGCATTTTTAATGAAGGGCTGATTGTTATACTGTTCCAGATTCAAAGGGATATTTGTTAGATGAAGATGGGTTCGATTATATGAAATATTCACTTCTAAGGGATATTAAGGCTCAGCAAAAGAGCCTCAAGTGGGTACATGCCTTTCCCTTATTTTTAGATTGTACATGTGGAATTTTTTAGATCTCTTTCTCCATTTATTCAAACAGGGAGTACTTGAAATCGTATCCACATGCCAAGTATATTGATGATGCAAAACCATGGAGTGAGCAGTGTGATGTTGCATTCCCTTGTGCATCACATAATGAGATTGACCAAGAGGAGGCCGTTGCAATCATCAACTCTGGTTGTCGTGTTCTTGTCGAATGTATGAAGTTTTGAATTTTGTCATTTCAATTTCAGTTTCTGTTTTAAATTTTTATATTTATCATATGCTGATTAAAATATGTTGCCAACTGCAGGTTCAAATATGCCATGCACTGTTCAAGCTGTTGATATCCTAAGAAAGGCAAAAGTTATTGTTGCTCCAGCAAAGGCAACTGCTGCTGGTGGGGTAATGCACTGCTTGACTGCTCTTACAAATCCATTCACATGTCCTGGTGTGAGATGATAGTAGAACAATTTTGTAGTCATTTTTCATGTCTATCATTGCTGCACTTTTCACTTGTATGACTTTAATGACTAGTATTTGTAGGCTGAAGTCATTATATATCTGTATATACTATCTATAGAGCTTGAGACTGTTATGTGTTTTCTCTGTTATCACAATTTATGCTTGTCTCTTGAAATAACAGGTAGCACTTGGAGAGCTTGAATTGAATCCAGAGTTTAATTTGATGCAGTTGTCAGTGGAGGATTTTGAGAATAAAATTCAAGTAAACTCTGCTGCTCCTGACTAGTGCCATTGGCATTTTTCCCCTTCTGCTTCCCAGTTGTGATACCTTCTGGGTTCTCTCTTTTTTTCTGTTGGATTTAAGCAGGATGCAATAAAGCAAACATATGAAAGGTCGGTCAAAGCTGCTCAAGATTACGGGATCATGAAAGAGAGCCCCGAGTTTGTTTTCTTGTGCTTTGCAAAATCAGACGATGCTTTCACTTGGTTTCAGTCGAGAAGCTGATCCCCCTGTCTCTCCATGCAGGTCTTTGGTCCATGGCGCGAACATTTGTGCTTTCCTTAATATTGCGCAAGCCATGGCTGACCAGGGATGTGTTTAGTTAGGCCTTTGATTCTGTCAAGAAGCTTCAACTGGAGCTTCCTGCAACTGTGAGGGGGGAAAAATCTTCTGATGACTAGAAGTGCTTCGATGCTTAAACCTTGAGTAGTGCTGCACAAATCATGAAGCGCTACAAAACAGGGAGTAACTAGGATTCATTCACCCTTGTTTATGCTAGAAATGTGTACAACTAAGGTGCCGGAAAGAAAGCCAGTTTTGTGGTACAATTAAGAAGAGCTGAGGATGTAGATCACCGGTGTATCATCCATTGTTATGAACGTAAATGTCAATGGAAAGTTGATAGAAGGAACTCATTTGCATGCAAAGCCTCTAGTCGCACCGGCGTCTGTAACACCAAATTGATTTCATTAAATTTCCTATAAAATATGTTCTGATAGTGTATTTATTTGAACTTATAAATTTAATATATTTTTCTGAACACTTTCAAAGTAGAGAAGATTGGCATAGAATGAAAAAATGACACAATTTGGAACGGAGGGAGCAGTATTATTTGGAACGGGAGTAGTATTATTAGATCAACCACTGACACGATTTATGTATTATTACATTCCCATGTCCATCAAATACTCGAAGGCTAGAACTTTGGGCTTTTTTGCCCCGCATGATTCTCAGGAAAATTGAGATCTTTAAATTTTTAGAGATAGGAGTTTTCAATATCTTTCCATAAATTACTATCAAGTTTTGTCCCAAAGCATGCAACATGCTCCACAAGGCAAAACACACATGTAGTAGCCAATCAAAAAATACAGTAAATTATACAGCGAAGTATTAAGAAGCTTGATCTTCTAACTCCTTCAGCTTATATATTTATGAGAACCCAGAGCCCCCTTGATAGAGCTTGAAAGCATCCACTCAGAAACAACCAAATGATGAGAAGCCTCGCAAAATAGTGGGCTCTAGAGCTACACTTGCAACATATAACCACATTTGGCTTCCTAAGGTAAAGCTGTGCCCGAAAAGGTACTTTGTTTGGCCTCGATGGTTAAGCTGTTGACTTCCCTGATTGTTCGGCTAAATAATGCTCAAGCATGTCCTCTTCATCGTCTGTACCAAATTAGGGCAACAAGTTTTGTAAGATAGGTTGCAATGGCAAAGTACATCTAATGTCATAAACAATGAGTTTTCCAGAAGAAGTTTTACCTTCAAAATCATCATCGAATTCAGTGTCTTCCTCCTCTTCTTCATCTTCATCAGCAACTGTGCTTGCTCCTTTCTGAAAAGATGGTTTCATGTAAAGTAAAACTTAAGACACATATGTAAATCCAACACATACATGGATTCATGTGAATAACTGAAAATGCGAGTGCATCCAAACAAGCCTTAAGAGGAAATGTTTTATTATCTGGGATAACGAACCACTGCATGCCTTCCACTTTCAAAATACTGCCGTCCTGTGAGTTTCTTTTCCTTTGGGGCTGTAAGAGCTGAATCTGGCATAAGTCTGCATGCCCAGAAAATGCAAAAGATCATCTAAACACACATTTGGGTACTTATATAATATATGGGAATCAAACACCATTATATGTAAGATATCACAAGTAAACAAGAGATTCCATGTAATCATCGAGAAAAACTTAATATGTAAACAAAATAGGAAGTTTACTTAGCACGCTGTAAGGCCAACTCAGCTTCAAAACGTTCTCTCCAAGCCAGAAAGCTCTCTACAGTAACAGCTTCACCATGTGGTATAATAACCTAGCATGCAGACCAAATACTTTTCATCAGTTATGAATTATAATTGCTGAAAGGGAAATAATCCATGATAGCATGATACAATATGTAACTTTGAAATTTGATTGCGCAAGTGGCTCAGTAGGACACAACCAATCAAGCACTAAATTCCAAAAATGCAGCATCCAGCAGGATTCTAAACAAAATCACCAAAAGGTGGTCTCAGATTGGAAACCAACCATACCAGAACAAGCCTGGATTAATTTCATGAACCACAGCCAATTCAACGTCTCCACTTGCTACAGCTGAACCCAGTTCCTACAGTTCATATAAAAGAAAATGCAGAACAGACAAGTGAATAGGTGTATACCTCCTCTTCTTCCGCTTCAGTTTCTTCAGGTTCCTCATCACCACCATTCTGACCATATTTCTCACTTAGCCACTCTTTGGCTGATGAAACAAGAGTGTAGACCATAGCCATGCCAAGATTCTCCGTTGCCTAAATGATGGGATATTCAACATAATACAATGTGACATATCAGGTGACTGATAAGTGATAATGTAAGGAACTCACAAGTCATAACCAATTAGAAACTTCTAACATGCTCTGGTCATATTGGAGCACAAGATCCAGCCAAATCTCAAAACGGATGTCATTGGTAAGACTCGAATTAATTCACACGACCTTTCTACAAGTTCTCTGCTATATAAGACTATACTAACTGTCCTTGCTTTTTTGGTTCAATGCGAATTATTTCAACTAAAAAAAGAATTGTTTCACACTTTCACTTTCGCACAGTTAACAGTTATAGCTATGTCAGATTGATGCCAAACTTGGAGTTGGGTATTTCGCATACCTCTTGCTCAAGCTTTTCCTTCAGGGATGCAAGATCATGTGGTTTAATCCCTCGTACACTGCACAGATATGTTCCGATCCAATGCAATAATTAGACAATCAGCATTCAGCACACATATTATGCCAAAATAACCATGGACTGTAACCAAGACTAGAATTTAATGGCAGAACCTTTTGACATTCAGTAGCGGAGGTTCATCAGGGTACTTCTCAGTGTGCGCAAAAATCAGGGCTAGTTGAACTGCAAATTGAAGCCAGACAGCAATCCGGTACATGCGTGATGTTCTAGAACGTTGAGAGTTGATTGATAATCAAGATCATATATGTGCATATCTACAAATTTAGTTTTACCTGGGACAGAAGCTGACTCGTCAAAATCATCATCCTGCCAGTAGTAGTAAACAGGAAATCAGTAGCATATTTGGAAAATAAACATCAAAAGAGCCTAATTCAACTCTCTCCAAACTCCCTAAAGCTTAAATGCACAGCTCTCAACCTTGCCACATTCGTCACTGGAACACATGGAGTTCTAACAAAGCGCAGCCATATCACACACTCGCACGCTGCACTCAGTTAGGAGTTACCTGAGGAGAGAGTAGGATCTGGAAGCACCTGGCGGTGGTGGCGATCCCACTCTCACTTGGGTCGATCTCTGCATCAGCACCAACACACAACATAACAACGATCAAATTTGGACAAGAAATTGGAATCCGCAGCACGAGTCCCCAAAACAAAAAGCTTGGAGGAAGCAGTAAAACCCTTGATGTCATCCATGAGGATGGCCTGCAGCGCCTCCACCTCCATCTCCTGCTCCTGCTCGTAGTCTTCCCGCGCCGCCGCCCATCGCAACCATACACAAGCAAAGACGCGGTTAGCAGCAAGAGCAAAGCGGAGGAAGGAAGGGGCTTCAGGATTTGGTTTGTACCGGCCATGATCGGTGCTGGTGGCGACGCTGCTGGCTGTACTTCGGCTTCCTACGGGGAAGGTGAGGACAGGACCTCTGCGGCGGCGCGGTGGAAGATTGGAGATAGGCGGGCGCACGGCGGCGGCTGCGTACGTCGCCGGAGGAGGTGAGGTGTGAATCGGAAGAGAAAGGAACTAGGACGGCTCGCTCCACTGTGGATGGGCCAGTCCACTAATGGGCCCAGGCCCACGAAACTGGCAGTCTTTGCCGTTGTTCATTGGATCTGATGGATCCGGCATGACAGATGCGCCAAAATTAGACACGGCCCGAGGTCAGGAAACGTACTCACAGGCCCAGCCCAGTGACAGATGCTGACCACCGTATCGCTCGCTGCCACGCGCGACGCGCCGAGCGAACAGCCGGCGCTGAGCTTCTTCTCCGGCAAAAGCGGCCGGTGCTCGGCTTCTTCTCCGGTAAAAGCAGCCGGCGCTGGGCCTCTTCTCCTGCAGAAAGCGAACCGGCGGCGAGCTCCTTCTCCAGCAAATAACGACCGGCGGCGATCCCCATCTACAGCAAAAAAACGACCGGCGGTGAGCCTCTTCTCCGGGAAGTGCTATCCCTCTTTTCTTGTCTGCTGCTTTGCCAAAAAGCAACCCCAGGCAAACCTGCAGTTCGCCGTTCCTTGCTTCATCTCGGTGGCCATGGTGATCTGCAGTCCCCTTCTTTGTTTAACATCTCATCTTGCTTTTCTCTCTCTCTTTCTTCATCCATCCATACCGTCGAATCATGTCACAAAGTCGAAAAAATACAGATGAATTGCTGAATTTGGTTGTTACATAAGTTATATGCTGAACTCTCCCAAATTTCTATTTGTCGATCTTATTGAACTTACTGCTACTTTGTTATTTTATAAATGGTTATTTAACAATAGCGTAACCGCATGTCCGATACTTATTGTATATATATCCGTATCTGGGCAACATAAGTCAAAAGAAAAAGTCTACTTAACCCCCCACCTTTCATACTTGGTCTACTTCACCCTCCAACTATGAAACCGTCTGTTTTATTCCCTAAACTTTCCAAAACCGTCTATTTTACCTCCGGGCGGTTTTTGACAGCGGGTTTGCTACAGTAACAACGGGTTTGCTACAGCTCCGGTGGGTTTGAATTTTCTTTTTTTTATTTATTTTCGGTGAATTTTTTAAAAATCATAGTAAATCATAGAAAAATCATAAAATGAAAAATCTAATTTTATTGAACTCCACGTGAGTAGATCTACACAATGAATATATAATACGGTATGCTTTAGTACAAAATTTTTACTATAGCCTTAGATTAATTGAAAAATCTAATTTTGTCTGTAATTAATTGGAATAATTCAAACCCACCGGAACTGTCAAAAAAACCGCTGTCAAAAGACCGTCCGGGGGGGTAAAATAGACGGTTTTGGGGGTAAAACAGACGGTTTCATAGTTGGGGGTGAAGTAGACCATGAAAGGTGGGGGGTTAAGTAGATTTTTTCCTAAGTCAAAACCTCATCAGTTTGGTTGGGTGCGGGCAAGAGGGGGAAGGTGGAGGCAGAGGTGGTTGTGGGAGATATGTCCTTTGGTATATAAGGCAATGGGGTCTGCCACTGTGAGAGAGAAGATTATTGGCCTCATGGCATGATGGGCCAGACACCAAGGTCGATGCTGTCATCTGGGTGTGCCGCTGCAACGGGTCTTGGTGACTGGGACGGATCCTTGGCAGCAAAGAGCTGCCCAAGTACCGTGTTGTCCTGCTGAGCTCCACTGGCACGCCCATCTAGCTTCTTGGCCGTCCCGACGGCAGCATGTCCATACAACCCTATGCCCTCCAAGATTTCAACTTACCTGTCAGTGTTAATCAGTTCAATTTCCCTACATTCCTGTGTTTTTTCAGTTTTTCAGTGTGTAGATACAATTGGTTCTGGTGATCCATGGCAGGCGCTATATTTTCTGGGAATTGTTCTTGCTACCTATAATTGGTGGCCCCCCTAGTTGCCTCCATGATGTGAACTTAAAGTGGGAGAGCTATCAGAAGGATCATTTAGGTGATAATATGCTTAATGCTTTCTATGTATGCCAATGGGGAAAAAGTATCGTGAATTTCTTGAAAATAAGAGGTGTAGATTACAATTATGTGGAGATGTCAATATGTTATATTAGCATATATGCTCCAAGTGTCGTGTATGTTAGAAATGTGGTGATGCTAAGCAACTGACTATCCAAATTGGTTTCTGAGCTTTATTGGGGTGAAGTTCTTTGATTTGTTAATTAAGTGTATAAATATTCTATATTTCATTGTTCAGGTGGATTGTTTTGAATTTCCCAAAAGCACACTTTTCAAAGATTAATGTTTATCACTTCATATTTTAGATGTTCCCCCCTCTTTTCTAGCTAATTGTGAAAATGTTTATCTCACTGCTATTTCGAACTTTATCACAGTGATTAGTATAATCTCGAGAAGTCTAAGTGTGTGAAGCCATTTTGGTGTGGACAATTTGACGAATGTATAGAAGATGTCAAGGTTGGAGCTAGTGTTCAAAAGACAACATATACAATGAAGATAAATATGCTCACAGAGAGAAGGCCATTCTTCATGCCCTTGAAATTGAGAAATCCCGGCAACCACTCAAGGTAACAATCTCAAAGAGCGTATTTTGTATTCCAGATTTAGCAGCCAGCTCATTTAGTTGAGTATGTAGCTTTGTGTTCTTCCTTTTAATCTTGTATTTCAATGTAAATTTTATATGCAAATGGGTGAAAGTAATACCAAATCTTATGTATTACCCTCTGAACTTCCATAGGAAGCATAGACCAAATGTTTAACTGTTCTTTCTGTCAGGGCATTTGAGTATTTGTGGATCTTCTGTATCCATAAAGGATCAGATCTCAAAACCCATTGGTCAAACTATTGAATGTAGTAAGCAGGGCATACCTTATATCTGAGATCGTAGATCCAAGATGGAAATCATTGGCCTTGTCACCCCTATTGGTCCTTTATCTGAAGAAAACCACAAGAGCGACGAGAATTTGTTGCCACTGGAGTGTGAAGGGACAATGGAATGCCACGCACGAGACAATGATGCTGTTGGGTGTTTACACCAAAATTTTGGAAGGAGAGCGCGGGAACTCGAAGCTTCTGGGATTGTGTCATCAATGAATCGGTTGCGTAAAGATCGATCTTAGCTGATTCAGATGCGATACTGGAATCGGCTCTTTTTTTATAACGTCAGCAGAAGACGTCAATAGATTATGGGGAAAGATATGTCGGACTCTACAGAAAGAAAAAGATTAGGGTCCAAGTTATTTTAAGTTAGGAATGTTTTCTTTTATTTCAAGAATTGTAATGAGTCGTATTTGAGCATGATTCATATTTAGATTCCGGGTATAAATATTGGACCCCGGTTATTGTTCAAGGACACGAACAATCAATCAACACAATTTTTCCGGCTTTCGCTATTGCATTAGGAGTAGGAATACTGTAGATCTCGATGAGTTCTTCACCTAACAGGGCTACATCGACTGATCGACTCCTAGCTTGCTTGTGAGTACCGTCATAACTTGTATTATGCTTGTAAAGCTGCATCAGCTGATTGACCTTTTATGAGTTATAATATAAGTTAGTTATCAATTCATATTGTTGTTTGTAAGGCTGCATCAGCTGATTGATCTCTTACTAATCTAATATAGATCAAAGTTATCAATCTTGTGTTAAATAACTTATTGTTTAACATAATATCACTAGTTATCGAATCTACTAAGATTAGTAATATTTTTCTTGCTGTTTTTGGTTGATTCACTAGTTATCGATCTTGTTATAATTAATGTTTTATTAATTATAACAAATCACCTGATTGAGATAGAGATAGAATTGGCATCGCATCATCTTAATTGGTTGTCTTCTAGTCTGGTCACACTTTGAATCTTATAATTGATAGCTTAATTCTGCTAGATCGGTTGTTTTATCTCTATTCCAATCAAACATAGTATATATTCAAAGACATGTTCCAATCTTGAGTAAGTTCACTAGTTAATAAGATCTAATCTAATGACATAACTATAGCTGCATCGACCCGGTCAAACCTCAATGGTAAGACTTTGGATTAGAGATTATCAATTAGTGGTTTTGTTCATGATCGAGATATGTACTCTGTTTGTTTACTATGCATGCATCGGCTATTTTTAGCCGATTCACCTGTGCTTTCACACATATAGCATGTTTTCATGAACCTGTCAATATATAGATGGTTTTATATATTTTTTGGCTTTAGTTTGATATTATTATCATAGCTGTATCGATCCGATCGAACCTCACTGTTGATGATAACAGATTAGATTCAGAGCGTTTATAGATTTATTTGTACTAGACAGTCGATTTGTTTGCACGTTATATCATTTCTCATTAAACTTATCGGCTCAATGCTTCATACTGGTTATATCCATCTAGCTGATGATGTTTCTTTATATTACTTATATTTAAGCGTATTGTATTTGTTCTGCCTGGATTAATCAATCATAATAAAATCGCTATGACCCATGAGTATCAGTTATTTTGAATTCGTACCATCATCATTGATATTAGCCGATAATTTTCAATTCAGCGATCCTCGCTTTACTGATATGTTGGATATCGACTATTTAGTTGATAGCCCTATCGAATCGGCTGTTTAGCCGCATATTTAGAACTGTCTGGAGTACCACCGACATGTTCCGCCTTAAACTACTGATAAGATTTTCTCTCCTTATCAATTACAGGTCAAATTGACTGGCACGTTGTTGGGTTTTCAGAATCGACTGGTCCTGTGTTGAAGCCAAGCAGATCTCTAATCTCATTTCGTTCAAATCGTCCGGCTTGCTGTGTGTTGATTGCATCGCCATATTTTTGCACCAACAGTTTAGATACAAGAGTGGAAGGTGTTGTCTGTGAGCCCACTGACCTTCAGAATAATATACAAGTTTATGATGTCGAGTTGGCTGTTCTAGGAAACTACACAGGTCGTGGCTTGCCCCTTGATTTCCTTGAGAGTAAAACGACTGGTGAACTCATTAAGGGCTACCCTGTTGATGTGGATGTTTTAGAGGATTGTTCTTCAGCGAGTATTCATTATCACCTCCCAGTGGTTAGGAGAATTGGGAAGAAGAGGCTGAGACGCGGACATGACGGAAGACGGATGAAGAGGACCCCACTACGTTTTCCCGCTGTGTCCACGGCTGTGCGTGCCATGTCCACCGCTGTGCAGACAAAAAAGAACTCAAACAAGGACCCGTTACTTGAGGAATGCTCCCTGCTATTGACTCTAGCTGCGAAAGCCTCCCTGCTGCATACATGAAGACCCCTAGGAACCGCAGTTGATTCCAGCAGCATGGGAGTATCATATGAGAATGACTGACCATTTTTTTCTGGTTCCTGTGGCTCACCTTTGCCCCTTACACCTGAGGCAAGGTCGACCAGGAGCAGCAACGGCTGCAGTGCTGCACTTCTTTGTACTTATGTTCTGCCTCCCCTCTGTGCTCCTGTGCGTTCGGTTTAGTTCAGTTGTGAGGAAAGTTGGGGCTATTTATGGTCGGAAGAACATGGAAGATCGAATTTTATTTTAATCTCAGCTGATACACAGCTGTTTCGATCTTTTCTGTTGGAAATTAGGGATGTACAGTGCTGTTGACTTTGTTGAGCTCCACG